ACATGTTTTATTCAGTCAGTATTTAGAATTGTTCACATGTCTATATTCTTATTTTTCTTATTTTTACTTACTAGCATATCTCATTAGAAACAGGAGATTCTTTTATTTTGAATGGATGGATGTAAAGGTGATTAGTTACCATCCTTAAGATACACACTGCACAGGATGGCAAATATGCCAAGGCAATAGCATAGAAACCTCCTGAAGTGGGCTTTAAACTACTTAGGTGGGGTGAAGTGCAATCCCCTTGCACTTTTACATGCTATATTTCAATTGCACAGGAAACTATTTGTATATTTGTCAGCAGGAAAAGGAATTTTACTTTCGTTTCTATGACTCCATTCTCTGTAAGCCTCACACCTTAACTCTTCACGCCATGTTTTTGATCATGATGTTGTGGGTCTACCCTTAGCATGACAACACATTGCGGGTAGTGACTCCTAGGATGTAGGGTAAGAAGTTATTTTTGTGGGCACATATTTTATAACATCCCTGTCACTGAATTTGTTTTCAGAGTTTCCCTGTAAAACAAGTTGTTGCTTCGGGTGTCAGTTATGCTAGAGAGAAGGATCTGATTTTAGCTTGAGCATACAACTTAAAATCTCTAAACTTCTGTCTTATAATAGAGACAGTTGTGAGTCCAGACTCTCCTGCTTGCAGGGGCAAGAGAGACTTTCTGCTCATCGAGTGTGAAATGTGTATTGTTATTATTTACTAGTCACAGATTTTATTCCCTAGCTGCAATAGGTTGTGTAAAGGTGTAAAGATTGTTCTTTCCGAGACTGTCCAGTTTATTTCATATACTTAGGAACATTAAGTGACTACTTTGATTTGTCATCATTATGTCTCTGACTTCCACATAAAAGTTCTTTATTTTCTCATCTCAGTAAGCTTGTATTGATTTAAGAACAATTTTGGTGATTTTTATTATTGTTTTGAAATAAAATTTAATTATATAATTTCTCTTTTTCCTGTCCTCTCTCTAACCGTTCCAATGACTCCCCCTTCCAATCTTGATCTGGCTCTCAAATTCAAGGCGTCTGGCCTCTTCTTCTTTACTTGTTGTCATATACTAAGTATATAAATATAATCTTCTCAGTCCACATATATAACTTGCATGCATATGATTTCAGAGCTAACCACCAGGTATTGAATAGTCAATTAGGGTCTGATTCAAGGGAAGAGTATTATCTCCCCCACAGTATTTTTTAGTTGCCTGTAGTTTTTTGTCTAGGGTTGGAGCCCAGTGAGATTTTTTCTGTCTGTGTTATCATGTCAGTTGATATTTTCTTTGGTCCAGTATTGTTTAGACAACCATATTGTTGCGATTCCATGGGTATAGCCTCCCTAAGATTTCTAACAGATGCAATAATCTCACAGCTGACATCCTGTTCCCCTGGCTCTTATAATCTTGTTAACAACAACACATCTCAGTACGGTGTGATATTTATCTTTTCTTTGCTAAATTACTAACATAGTTGCATGAATTTTTATGCATTTATTTGTATTTTTCTGTATGTTATTTCAAAAGGAATTTTGGAGGTGGGATATATGTAAATATGTTTTGGGAGGTAGAAGGTATATAAAGAAATGTAGGGTATTGATATATGTATTTTTAAAGACATCATTGTTGACAATATTTATTTTCAGAACTAACTTAAGAATGAAGGTAATCTTATGCTTCAATTTAGTTTCCAAACCAACCAATATAATTACTTAATGATATAATTGTCTAAGGTTTGTTGAGTTGCCAATTACCTAAAGGGATGAAAAGTCCTTGTTCTGTCTTATGTTTTACTTTCAAGTAAGAGGTTATACCATTTGTCATAATCATTAGTTGAAATTTAAATAAAATATTAGTAATTTTAGTAAATTTTTAACAAGCTACTAGAAAAACATGTTTCCAAAGATTATTAGCACCTATAACTCAACATATTTGTAAATGTACTGATTGTGGTCAAAATTGTGTCTAACAGTACTCTAAGTATAAGCCTTGATATTTATTTCTGATTCAGATATACAAAAATATGCTTAACCCAGTCTACCCGATGGCTTATTGTCAGTAGTGAAGCAAGGACTAAAGGAAGGGTTTGGATTTAGATATAAATTCTAATGTTTCTGAGCCATTTTCTGTCACTGTAGATACTGCTCAGGTCTCAATTTTCTGATCTTGGGAGGGAAAAGGGACTATCCAGAGTCTGAGCTTGGAAAATTTCCTTTATAGATCTACGATTGTGATTTTATTCGTGTCTTACATTTTATTGCAGTGTCAAATAAGATCACATCAACAATTTCTTAAATCCTGAATGACTTTTAAATCCTGATTTTAGTGTATCAATGTTGTACAAAAAGAGAAAATAGTCAAAGAAATATCTTATATGTTTATAATCTTGGGCAGAGCAAAACAAATTCTCTTAATTTTAGAGGTAGCATGGTAGATGGCATTTTGTGTGCATATGTATATACACAAATATACACATATACCATACACATATTCACCTACATATATACAAGTATAATATATGTATAAACACATACATATGTACATGTTCACATATACACTTATATTTATAAATGCAAATTTTGCCTCATTAGAACAGTGACTTTCATCACAGAACTACTCAGATAAATAAAAGACGAAATGGCAGATTTATTTTCATCTGATATTTTAGATAAGTATAAACAAAGCCTTGATTTTAAAGCATAATGAATCAGAGTTAGCATTTGAAAAATCAGGGGGAGTGGGTGTGACCATCAAGTGCACAGACTACACAACCAAATACAGATTCCATGGGTCAGGCTTATGTCAGCTGCCAGTCACATACAAAACACTGAACAACTTCGCAGAAGAAAACTGGGTTGTTCAAAACAATGGGCAAAAATGTCACAGGTCCCTACTTTACATCACTCAGTTGTCCAGATGCTGTGTGAGTTCAGGGTCTGAAAAAAAAATCAATGATCGATAAATATGGATCTTCTAGGAGAACACGGTTTCAGGAAACCAGATCCTGAACTAACTTTAGATGACAGAGGAGGAAGAACTCATTGGACAGAACATAAGCCCGGCAGTGGAGATGTCTGCGGGACACGAGGAATCACTTTGAACAAGATGAGGCATCATTAGCCGAAACATGGGGTGAGAAGAGTACCGACAAATGACGAGACTATGCAGGCCTTGAAGATCCCGTAGGAACCAGCCTTTGTCCTGATGGCAATGTGAAATGATGCAGTCTCTGAGCAGCAGAGTGACGTGAAGGGAACGCTATCTGAGAAATATTGTTCTGCAGCAAGACCGCGGAAGGATCGTGGGAGAGACAAGAAGTAATCCCAGGATATACAGAATGCTTTAAACAATGAATTAAAAGCATTTTAAGTTTCCGTAAGAAAACATGACACTAGAGGAAGCAGGAAGAAAACGAATGTGAACTAAAAACAGATTTTTGCGAAGGTTGAGCTTTGCCTAAGATAATTCGCCTATCAGTTTCTATCAGCCAAGTCAGCAATCAAAGAGTGCAAACTCTAATTCAAATGTTGTACTTCAGATATTGAAACAGAGAACATTTAAAATGAACTTTGAGGCAGAGGCATGGGAAGTATTGAGAATCTGTGGCTACCACAGGACTGGATGCGAGAGTTTCAAAGACACTGCGAGGCCCTGACCAAAATGCAGAACTTTTAATCTTCAAGCATTTTAAAGAGATATTATCTTACCATTTATCATTTAATTTTACCCCATGTTTACAAATAGGATTTTTTACAAAACAAAACATGTCTTAATTGATTTTAGAGATTGCTGAGCGAAAGTATTAATTTTGTGTTTATATCCAAAATATACTAATGATTTCCTATAAAGTATATGAATTTATTTTAAAGAGGAAAATCTTTTGAAGGAAAGAATAGTTTTATATATCGAGTATAGTTTTTTAGAGTAACTTAATTTAATTTGTATGTGTCTATACTGTATATTGGAAGCGATATAATAATTGTTTTGCAAGTGTTTTCTGGCTTAATGTCTAAAACCAAATTAATAGAGAAAATTACTCAAAGATCAGAGGGATGTTTGGTTAAAGGTAAAAAATAAAAGAATAAAAAATTTTAATAAATAATTTTTAATAAAATCAATAATATCACTTTTAAGATATTTTCATAACATCATCATTGTTTCCATATAAGAAATGTAATAAAAATCAAACAAAATAAGGCTGGGAAGTGGTGGCACATGCCTTTAATCCTAGCATTAGGGAGGCAGCGGCAGGTGGATCTCTATGAGTTCAAGGCTAGTCTGGTTTATAAGATCTAGTTCCAGGGCAGTCTCCAAAACTACAGAGAAACCCTGTCTTGCAAAAAAACTAACTAACTAACTAACTAACTAACTAAATAAATAAATAAAACAAAATAAAAAGAATATGATTATGGTTTCAGTTTGAAGTTTATGGGTGTCATAGAAATGTACTTTAAAATGTAAGAGGTCTCAACTGGGCTCACTCTTGTAATTTGAGACTAGAGAAGGTGAGACAGAAGAATCTCCATGAGTTTATAGAGTTTGAAGCCAGAGGGAGATAGATGTCTGGTCTATGGAGTGAGAATATCTTAAAACAACAAAAATAAAATAATAATAATAATTAAAATAAACATAAGTCAATAACTCTACCTAGTTTCACAAAAATAATTTCTTCTGATGCCTAGTGAGATCATTTCATAAATCTGAAGACATTTCGCCCAATGCTTTTCAATAAACATAAATGTCAGTAGCATGTCTTGAATTTTCTCAAGATCTCCTTTCAATAATATATTTTATAATGAAAGAAATAGTCATTTTCATTTTTCTATGGCACCATAAATTTCTGAAATGCTATTACAAGCTACCAGAATGCATTTTTACAAGTTTTAGTTCCTATAGTACACTCTTATTACTTCTAGGACACATTGGTCGTTATTATAATGGAATCACACAGTTTTCGATCGGAAGCTAACACATACATCAACACAAGGGCACAGACCTCGTTCACTGTGGCGTAGTAGCTTTCGTGCTTGAAGGTGGGTGAGTTGTCATTCCTGTCCCGCACCACAATGCGTACTTCGTGATAGATAACTGTGCCAACCTTCTTGTTGACACACTGGACTTGCACCACGATGGAGTGTATGTTCATTGGTGGCTGCAGGAAGAAATTACATCTTTTTAAACACAGTTTGGGTCAGGGTCTGAGCCCTGAAAACACACGACCACTCATTATCAATTCAATTACTTTTTCTCTTGCACTATGACAGACTTGGAAAAAAAAAAAAACAGTGTTGCCCTGGTTTAAAAGAGAAGATCATTGAGATTATTCCATTGCTTAATTTCATATCGAAGCCTATAAAGTTTCAAGTACTATTATGATCATAGAATTTTGCTGATGAATATAACCAAAGATCAATACTGAGATTTGCTGGGCAAAAATTTATTTTCTTTATAAAGTCTGAAAAAGTAATGGCAGTAACTTTATTTTTTTCTAACAAAATATCAATAAACTTCTGAGGTATGAGAGATATTATTACATTTTGTTCATTTATTGATTATGGGGACCATATTGATAAAATTAGTATGAGAAAGAACAGCTCACAAGCCAACCAAATTGAAACTGCACGTGTAAACCCATATACGTTGTTTCTTCTTCATCTCTTCTGTATGCACCGCTTTCTATTGTATCAGACTCATCGACTTTTCCCTCTGTTTTGTCATAATAATCCTTAGGGAGCACTCTCATCTTAAACACCCTGTCTCCACCATGCCTCATCTTTCCAAATTCTACTATTAAATTTTTTGTTTACTCTACTTCTCATTCCCAACTTGTGTATTCTGTGTTTTATATGATTGTTTCAATCTGTGACCCTTGATGAGACTGCAAGCTCCCTCCAATCATGGGCTACTGTTATAGTATCCTAGTTACACCCCTCCACCTAACAGCTGGCCTGTGCCTGGGACAGATGAGTAAAGGCTGTCAGAGATAAACCATCTCCTTTCTCACCGTTTCCAGAGATACTGTCTGAAAGATTAAGGGAAAGTTAACTACATCTCCAGTGCTTACCTGCTTAACTATGATCATGGGATTCCAATAATGTTAAGGGGATATTACTACGGTTGTCATAAATGTTCACCCATGACTGGGAACTTATTATGAACAATTATCAGATATAAACTATCTTCCAGTCACTAAATAATGAATTTCTAACACCTTAAGCTTTTATTCTATATTTATGGCAATTCACCGTTATCTTTTGTCATGTTTTAGAAGTCCATAATGAACAATTTATTATTCATCCATTTTCTGTGTGTCATAGATCCCTGTAACATCTTTTTCTGTCTGTCTGTAGGGCTGGTTTCACTGGCCAGCCTCCTCCCCACTCTTGACCATGTGCCCCGTGTCTGACAATTTCTAAGTAGATCACCATGTACACAAACCATAAAACTACATTTACTTTATAATATGAGCACATCTGTGCTGATCAAAATTAATATGCTGAATCCATCCACAAAAATAAAGTAAATGGAATCTATACAATATAAAGTAATAATTCTGGATTATATGACAAGCTACTTAAACTAATTGATTGACAAGTTAATGATGCCTGGGACTGAGGAAAGGGCCATGTAAATGACTACATGCCACACACGGAGGCGAGAATGCTGCAGTAAATATGTTTAAACTGCAGCAAAACATCATTTAATTAGAAGGGTCTTTCATGAGCAACAAAGACAAGGAGAACAGAACTGGTAAATGGGCAGCCTCTTTAAAATTAGCTGTGACACCATTCTGTATTATGACGTCACACTGACATCAACGTGAACAGTGAAGTCATGTTTATACAAAGTCTGAGTGACACAAAAATCACAGGAGCAAATAATAAACACCACGACTGAGAATAAAATCGTCTCACTCATTTACCACAAATGATGTTGCAGTTTTGCAGTAACACATGTAAGTACCCAAATTTGTATAAGCAAAAATCACCTAAATACTATAAGTGACTACAGACATTAATATGAGAAATACCGATGAAAGAATGATAGCTAAGTTTTGGCTACTCTTATATGCCAAAAGCAGAGGTTGGAACACTAATGTAAACCCTATAATAATTATTAATAGCAGAATCATAAGAACTTGAGATAGTAGATTCTATTTTATATGTGAGCAGGGAATAGAGCAAGTGCATTTTGAGAAAATTTGGCGACTTTCAGAAGTAAGAAAAGACAAAAAGTTTGCCAGTCTAAAGAGTTTTATCAGAGGGCCTCTTAATAAAACATCATCAAATGCAACAGAGAAGCCTACCAGCAAACTCACGGTGAACACCTTCAAACTTCAGCAAAAGGCTTGTTTTAAAGCACTGAGTTGTAGAGGAAGAGTCTCAGAAATAACTTAAAGAACCCCTGTGTCTTTACTTCCAGATTTAAACGGCTGTTTTAATAGGCTAGTAGAGAGGACTCTTTGTTTTAATTGTAAAAATAAGAAATACAGTAAGTATGCCCACTGATATCCTTGGGGACCTCTTGGAAGGCAATTAGGTGAGTGTTATTCATCTGACAATATTCTTCTAAATAGTTTAAGAGACATATGAAACCAGCTATCTTCACTTGCAGTTTTACATGGGACAGTAGCTCTGGGACAGAAAGGTCACAGATTTTCAAAAGGATTTAAATGCAGTATATGAGGAACACTCCCTCCCCTCAATCCAGCTGATAACCCATCAATTAGATATAAACAAGTCACCTGGAATTGCTGTCATTCTCAGCTTCAGCTCCCCATGCAATGCTTAGTGGCATGGATGAACTTAGTAGGCAATAAATTCCAACCACTATGGATTACGCTGAAGTGAAGAGTTCCCTATGGCTAACATTTAAGGCACAGTGTAATTTTGTATTGAAATAAATTCTATTCTCCTGTACAGAAAAGTAATAAATACATCAAGTATAGTCGCACTGAGTTGATTAATCAGAGTTTAGGGACACCATACTGCTTATGGCAGTGTTGGAGAGTTAGGGACCCTGTAATGCTTACAGAAGTGTTAGGGGAATTATGGCTGAGCTTTCAGAGCTACTGGCAAAAGTCAGCGATAGGAATTCTTTGATGATCTTTCTTCCATACTGAATTCTTCTTACTTGTTCTATTCGTGAAACAAACAAGCTGCATATAAACTGTGTTGGATGTGTATTTAAAATAATCACATCCATATACACCTGAATTTACAAATGAAACCCTTAAGGAGTATTTCAAAACCATACCTACATGTCTGTGTTTTCGCACACCTGTGTAGCAGGAATGATATGAATCGCCCAATTTATGAAGTTTATCCATGGAAAGTAGTATTGGGAGGATGACATAAAGAAGAGCCCTTTCAAAGTATGTAGGATTTTGTAATGAAAGAAGATGGGAAATTAGCCATTTTATATAACATGCACAAAAGAAGTCACTGATGCCAGCACTGTGGATTGTAACCCTCCTCTGTGATATAAAAAGAAGTTACTATTTTTAGAAACTATTACTTGAAGATTAATGATTTGAAGTTTCATTGCTTAAATGAAAATATCTTTTGCAAACCTGTAAGACTTGATCTTATTTTTCATAGAGTACAAAGAAGTGTGTCAAATTCTTACAGGAATGAATGTTTTTGTTATGTCCCCTTACCTCTGCCTGTGGATTTACTTACTACCTAAGCAGAATGAAGAGTTATTGGTGTTATACATAAAAAGGGAAATAATAAAATGTGTTTTAGAAATACATACTTCACATTTCTGAGGCCTGAGGCCGGGACTTAAGGCCACACACATTGTAGGCAAGCAGTCTACCACTGGGTTATATAGTTCAGCCCTGAAATTAATTTGCAAATGAAGAAATAGAGGAAATGGCTGCCTAAAATTGTCTACTTCAAAAATTGAATTTAGTAAATAATGATATATTGTAGGAGTTACTTAAGAAATAAAATGCCAATTTGAGAAACCATAACATTTATAGATATTTCATAGCTTTTAATAGTATGTTATATGCCAAATTCTAGATTGATTAAAATTAATATGACTTAATCTTTGGATAAGGAATAGTCTTGTAAAATTTATATCAAATAGGTTTAAATAAATCATAATGAAGATAAAACAGACTGGTGAATATTATGGAGTATAGAATATGTAATTACATACCAGTATCAGATTTCTATTTACATAGCATTTATGGATCTGTGCCTTGTTACTTGGCGAGAACTCATCCCTAGTATCACAAATATGGTAGTAAAATAAAAAAGAAGAGATGAATTTGGGATGGAGACAAGAGGAACTTAGAGAGAGTTGAGGGGAGGGAGTAGAAATGGCTAGCTGATCTCTATGGAAAGTCTGCCAGTTTTCTGAAGAGGATCAAATAAGAAGGAGTGAATTGGGGGAGAGGAACTTAGGAGGAAGGGCTAAGAGGAGAGGCTATAGAGAAAACTTTGGTTGGGATATAAAAACAAAGATCAGTAAATAAACAAAAGTTGAAAAATGGAGAGTGTATATGTTCAAGGTAAAGTGTTTACAAAGATGAATTTCTCAAAGAATTTAAATCAAGATTTTCAATCAACTTTAGCATCTATTTAAATTGATGGTTGAGAGAACAGTGAGATTGTCCTGGGTTCCAAATGAGAGGAAGGAATACTGACAAATGAGTAATACTGATGGATGTAGTTGCAAACCTAATCGGCAATGTGGCCACTCATCACAGATGGCCAATGAAGAGTGCCCTGGGTAGAATGGATAAAACCCTGGTGCAACTCTGAAGTTCAGAAAACAGGAGGCATGGGGTTCTCAGGTCATCAATGAAGTTAAGAACACAGAACATACTGGATTCTCTTTGGTCATCACTGTCTCTGACCAAGTGCTTCCAACCTTTTCAACGAGTTTCGAGATACATATTGTATGATTGGAACAGATCCAGATATCTCTTAGTAATCAGTTGATTAGGTAGCAACAGTGATAATTTCATTCTTTAAAGTGATTAGGGAATACTGACTGGTCTTACGATATAATAATTTGGTCTTTCAAAGATTCTTGAGTCTCTTATTATATATACTTTTTATTTCTGACTTGTGATTTTATAGTTTCTCCTGTTTAAGAAGCAAAAACTAAACTGAACACAAAGGAAAATAGAGAAAA